GCTGCGGATGTTGTCTGGCGTCAATCGTTTCGCGCTGAGACGGGGACCTCTAGAAAGGAAGAGAGTGCCAGCGTCTTCTATGATATGCTCAAGTATTATGAGACGATTGACTTAGACGTTTTAGAGCAGCGGTGTCACCAACATAATTTCCCGACTGTGCTGACTAGGCTTACCCTTTATGCGTATAGGTGTGGCCGCTTTGTCTCCATCGCTGGCCTCCTGGATGGGCCGCACTTTGTGCGGAAAGGAGTCATTGCGGGCTGCAGCATGGCCACTACGCATATACGCATTTATGGTTTGTCTTCGTTCGATAAGCTCCCCTCTGTCCCCTCTGTCGATTTTGACATTTATATTGATGATACTGGAGTGTCTTGCACGGGGTCCAGGGAGCATGTTGTCTCGTCCATTGTTACCGTCTCTCTCGCTCTTCATCATGCTATCACTGATGAGAATGAGATGAACTGTCAGCTTGCTCTCGACAAGATTTGTACCGTTGCGTCCTCCAAAGGCCTGGCCACCGCGCTGGCTGCGGCCCTGGGACAGTTTGGAGGCAAGTTCACTGCCTCGACTGTGAACCTCGGAGTCGACTACAGTGCTGGCACCTCGGTCAGGGCCTCAGGGCGGAGCTCGAAGCTCAAGAACCGTGTGGCGCTGCTCTGCAGGAAAGCCCGACGTCTCAGGTGTCAGGCAGGTTACCTTGGTCGCAAAGCCCTCAGAATTTTCGCTGCGGGCCCCCTCCCTGGAGGGGCCTATGGGGCGGACATCCTGGGGGTGAGCGACCAGGTCCTCCTAACCATGAGGCGGCAGGCTTTCAAGACTGTGAGGCCTTTTGCCAAAAGTAGGTCTCTCACGGCGGTCAGCCTTCTGTCGGAGGACCCGTGCTGGCGAGCTGCTTCGGCTCCCATCCTGCGTTGGAGCAAAGAGGTCTGGCTGGCCCAAACTCGCGAGTTCCCCTGGTCCATTCCTCATAGGGAGCTCCGAGACGGTTTCAGGAGTGTGTTTGCGCTGCCTAGGGTTACTTGGCCTACTGTTAAGGGCCCCGTGTCTGCCCTTCGCCTTACCCTCCTTCGCCTCGGTTGGACCATGGTTGACTATGCCACCATCTTGGACGACCGTGGCTATCGTTTGCAGCTCGGCCTGATTCCCCCCAAGTTGTTGGAAATTATGTGCAAAGAGGCCTACATGCGTGGGCTCGAGCGGGATCTTGGGGGTAAATGGGGGCTGGATTGCAGGGCGTGTCTGGACATTCCCAGAGCTGCTTGTGTCAGTAAGAAGTTCTCACCTGCGCAGAGGGGCTGGATTCGGGCTTGCTCTTGTGATGCCATCTGGTCTGCGGACAAGGCCTTGGCATGTGGGTATCAGGTTGACCCGCTTTGTCCCCTTTGCTCTGCTTCGCCCGACTCAGTGTTTCACAGGCTTTGGCAGTGCACGGCGACGGAAGTCCTAGAGTCGCGGTCTCAGCTGGTCCCGGCCTCAGTTGTGCAAGATGCCATCGCCGTGTGGACAGCTCAGGCGGAACCCGACCCTCATGTGCGAGCTCTTTATACCAGAGGAGCTTTCGCTCATCCCGCTGACGTGTTGCCGCGTCCTGTTGAGGAGGGAACGAATGCCCTTCAGTTCGTTTGGCATTGTGACGAGCTTCCTAGCCCTGAAGGTCCCAGGGTCCCAGTGAACGGGGAAATGTGGGGGCACGTCTTTATAGATGGGTCCTGTCAGCGCCACCCGATCAAGGAATTGTCTAGAGCTGCCTATGCGATTACTATGAATGCTGAGGATGGCACGTGCCTTGGAGAGGCGAGAGGCCCTGTCTGGGCTCACCTTCCTCAGACGCCTCAGGCGGCTGAATATGCTGCCAGATGTGTAGCCGCACAGTTCTTGGTGTTGCCGACCACTATTTATTCGGACTGTGCGAACGTTGTGTCTCACAGCACCTTGCCCTTGCCTGAGAGGTACTCGGGCAAGAGGTCTTACTCAGGAATGATCATGTGTGCCAACAACTTTGAGGGCCGCTTGTTGGAAGGAATTGTTAAGGTCAAAGCTCATTTAGATGTGCACCAGGAGGGCATCTCCGAGAGAGAACGTTTCCTCAGGCGTGGAAACGCTGATGCGGATGTGGGGGCTAAACATGCCCTCCAGCTTCACCCATCAGACCCGACCGAACTTGCCAATGTGGACAAGCTTGTGGAAGCGGCCAGGGGTTATTGCATCCTTGCTGCTAACTTGCTTCCTCTTTGGCCTAAGCTCTCTCTCGACGTTCCCTATCTCCCTCCTCCTGCTGAGCATTTAAGCTCCCGCAGTAAGGTTGGCCATCGTTGGGAAGTCTGGGCTGACGTCTGGAGGTGTGCGGTGTGCCTCCGCGGGAACAGGGGCTCGCCTCGGCCCCCCCCTGGAAGGTGCCCCCAGGATTCCAAGCTGCATGCGGCTAGGCAAGATGCCCTTGGGCATAGGACTGTTGCCTTCGACTGTTCTGACAAGTCAGTGCTTTTCATATGCCTAAAATGTAAATGCCACTCCACAGGTGGCAGGATTAGAGGCCTAGGCGAAGTTTGCAAGAAGCCCACCCGTGCGGGCCGTCAGGGTTGGGCCGCCTTGCGCAAGGGTACTCACCCGCAGTACTCCAAGTCCAGCAAAGGTGTCACAGTTGATGACACCTCGCTAGTGCGTTGCTTCAACTCGTATTTGGTTTCGAATCCTCAATTTTCGGAGGAAGATGTTTCTAGCTCTGCGCCTTCTGGCCCGTCTGGCAGCGCGGCCAGCGCTGGAGGGCAAGAGCGTCCCAGCTTCACAGTTCCAGCTATTGCAGCCACTGCCTGTGCTCATGCCTGCAGCGTTGCGCCCAGCTCTTCCTCGAGTGATGTGGTCGCCTCGGCCTCAGCCACCAGGGAGTGCTTGAATCGCATTGCTGCGTCTCTCCGCTGCGAAGCGGAAGATTTGGGAACGGGTGGGACTGTGGAGGTGGGGTCGGGAGATTCGGATTGAATTTCAGTGTTCTCGCCTGCCTTTCTCTTTTGGCAGGGTTGAACCTATTGTTCGTGCGTTGGCCTTCGGAGCCTCTCCTTACTTTCAGTTTCTGTTCTCAATCTTATCCTCGGCCGTGCTTTGCTTCCTGGGCTTTCAGGCTGTTGTGGCATAGGTTGCTGCCCGCGACCTAAGCGGCGACCGCCTGTCCGCTTAGGACGCTCTCCGCGTTGCCGATTTTTTCCAGCTGAGGGTCAGCTGGTGCCTGTCCTCGTCTGTCCTTCGCCTCTGTGACAGGCTTGGCTCTCGTTTGGCGAATTTATTTCTTTTGTGCACTGTCTCTGGCATGTCTGCCAGACAGTGGGAGCCCGAGCCGAGGGTCGATCCGTGCGGGGAAGGGGCCATAGTGGGCGTTCCGAAAGGAACTCGCGAAGCCCCCTCCCCAAAGCGGCTCTCGCCGAGGCGAGGTCTTTCAGTGCTGGCAGGTCCCGCCCTGCCAGTTTTCTGCACTATGCGGTGGGTCCGTGGAGATCAAAAAAAAAAGCGTTCGGCGATGGCCCGGGCTCGCATGGGCGGCACGGCCGCCTCAGGCGACGTGGCTGGGGCTTGTGTTCTCTGGATTTTTCTTGGCGCGAAGTCGCCAGGATGCATGGGCCACTGCCGTCCCTCTTCCAGTCTGCGCCTGCTGCGGAGCTGTTTAGCTTCCCCATGGCCCTCAGGTATACGGGCGCGCAGCTGAAGTTTTACACCGATTGCAAGCCGTTGGTTGGTGTTTGGCGCAAAGGGTTCGGTGCTGGCACGGCTGCCAGTGAGCCGATGGCGACCCTTTGGAGGGAAGTCTGGAGGTTGGCGGCGGAACGGGGTTTGGAGGCTTTGGAGGCGGCGGAGGTCTCTCACGTCAAGGCCCACACACCGCACTCGGCGGTAGTTGAAGGGCGAATCGCACCTTGGCAACGGTTTGGGAACACCAAGGCTGACGAAGCTGCCAAAGTAGGAGCCACCATGCACTCGGATAGTGTCGGCTTGCGCGGGGCGCGTGGGTCATCTATCCAGGCGGTGAAGATGGTGGCTCAGTTTTGCACGCGAGTCGCGGCTAGGATCGGTTCGGTCACAGCCCCCGATGCCCAGGCAGTCGTGCTTGGGAGGGCTAGCGGCACCATCGAAGGTGGGTTGGGCCCTCCCTGGCCGCATTCTCGTTTCGATCCTGCGTTTGCGCATATGGACAGGAGATTGTGATGCATGATCTGCCTCAGGTCGGCGAAGTCTCGAGCTGTTTTGCGACAGTTGAAGTGTTCGGAGAGCCCTGCTCAGCATGCTGTGCACCGCGCTGGGCCTGTGCTGTTCTGCTCGGTCTGCGGGGCTTATGCCACGCTACGTAGCCAAGGGCTCTCCGATGATTGCCAGCCGTTCAGGCGCCGAGCGGGCACTCTGGTCAAATCTTCCAGGTACTATCGGCTGCAGAATCTTCTCTAGGGTCGCCACCCCAAGTCGGGCCTCTTTTTGGGCCCTCCAGTTTTGCTTCGCAAACGGAGTTTCTGTGAGACGGCTCTATTGCCGCCGCTTCCACCTCTCCCTGAGACCTCTGGGGCGGGGAGTGGTTCTGGAGTGGGGGCGGGGTGGGCGGGGGCGGGACGGGAGCACTCTCCTCCTGCTGTTGCCCAGGCTGATTTGGCCTTGTGGGAAAGCCTTGCCGATTTCCCTTATGCCAGCGACTCGGACGACGACGATCCCGCTCGCGAAGCGAGGCTGTGGGTCGAATGACGTCTCCATCGTTGGCCGTTTGTGTGTTTTTCAAACTCATGGCCAGTACGCGTGCGGCTGGTCCTGGTGAGGTCAAAACTCCTCTACCTCCTCCTCCTCCTCCTCCTCCTCCTCCTCCTCCTCCTCCTCCTCCTCCTCTTCCTCCTCCTCCTCCTCCTCCTCCTCCTCCTCCTCCTCCTCCTCCTCCTCCTCCTCCTCCTCCTCCTCCCCCTCCTCCTCCTCCTGCCTCCTCATCGAGCCTTGCGAGCTGCCGGGCGATGGAGACAAGGGGGGGCGCACAGGCCCAGAGGATGGCGGCTCGGCGCGGCAGCCGAAGGACGCTGACGGCGCGGGGCCGCCGACCGCCGCGGGGCTGCAGCCCTGCGAGTCCGCAAGGCCCCTGGTGGCGGACAGGAGGGCCGTGCCCGGCTGTTCTTTGCTTGGCTGCTCCCCGTCTGGGCGAGTGGCCTGTGGTGCGGGCACAATGGGGTCCCCAGATGGCTGGATGCGATGCGATAGCAGCGGCTTCCGCGCTGTGGTGTGGCCCCCTTCTGCGCCCCCCGTTACGCCGCGCACCACATGCAATTCCTGCCTAGGGTCACTTTTGCGTGTAGCCGATGTTCCTCGCATGGCTTCCCCTCTGTCTGGGTGTGTCTTGCATGGCCCTGCCTGGGTGCTCCTGCCCGGCCATGCGTTCAGGCAGAGCCACGCGTGAGAGTCACCATAAAAGGGTGCCGCCAGGTCCTCCTGAGGATGCAGGTTCGAGGATCGACTACTGTTAGACGACTCTGGGTGTGTGGGCATTTCCAGGGGGGTCTTGAGGGCGTTCTCCTCAAGGAGGTCGTGACCCTTCCCAGTGGTGGCCCATCGTGACACTGCTTGGTGCGCGGCTGATGTTGCCAGAGTGTTCCTGTCCGGCCGTACTTGTCAAGGGGATTCCCGCCTGGCGCCCGCCGCCTTTGCCACATGTTTTCCGTCGCAGCGCGGCAGACGCGATCCGCTTGAGCGCTCTAGCAGCTGGGGACGCGCGGCGTACTCATTTAGCGGCAGCAAGAGGAGGAAGAGGGCGGCCGCAGAAAGCAGGCGGGGGTAAGGGCCTTTGCTACACGGCCAGGGTATCGAAGACGCTTTGGGCGAGCGACGGGCGCCCGCTGCCCCTTGGAAGCGACCATAGGGCCCAAATTCGGGCAGAAGTTTTACCAACACATTGGAACATGTGAGGGATTCCAGGAAGGGCCTCGCCTTCGAGGATCGAAGGGATTGGAATCTCTTCCCTGGCGAAAGGCTGCGGAAGTAAAACGAGGCCGCCTCCGCTGGCGGAAACGGCGGATGGTGGCGGAAGTGAAAATTGCGCCCCCAAGAGATGACAACATGTTTGGGTTCAGGGTTTTAGGAACCCGCCATGTGTTCCCCCAGCCGTTGCGGAAACCATTGGCCAGAGTAAACCCCAGATGCGTCATTGATTTTGCAATACACCTTTTCGCCTCAAGTCCCTTACTAGTCAGGCCTTGCAATTCATTCCTGCCGCAGCAAACGGCGCCCAGACGAAAGACCAGTATTCCAAGGGCCTGCCATTCAGACAAGAGCCAGCCCGGTCAGCAAAGCAACGACATGTTTCGCACCGTTCCAGCGAGTAATAAGAAACGCGCCATGGTATGATGATAAAGGTCAATGAGGTGTCCAGCGATGCCCGTGTTTTGAAACAGGACCGCTTGCACATGCGTATTTCGTGCAAGAGCTCCCACGTATAAAAGTGAGGGTCGAACAAGTCTCAAACGAAAACCCGATTCTGAAGAGCAGAAACCAACTTGTGCAGAAGAGCAGCCGACAACCTGTATTATAGTCGCAATATGCTGCGACGAATGTGGCCAGTGCCGAAGCGAGAACCCCAGTTTGAAAAGGAGCCCGTAACTGCTGCAAGCTCTTACGACGCGAACGTGCGCGGCACCAAGGCGTGAGCCCGATTTTGAAACGAACTCTCCTCCATCTTTGAATCCGCTGCCGCTGCAAACTTTTCAGACGAATGCGCCCGGCGTTTAGGCGAGAGGCCTTGTTTGAGTTGAAATGGCCCGCCCGCCATTGTTGAATAAGTTGCAAGCTCGTAGGACGAGTGTGAGCGGCGCAGCGGCGATAGCTCCATTTTGAGAGAAACTCCGTCCATCCATCTGCGAAGTTGTTCCAAAGTTTGAAGACGAGCGCACGGCTCTCAGGCGAGAGCCACATTTGGAAAACGACCCTCCGTCCGCGAAGCGGCTTCAATTATTTAGGGAGACGTGCGCGGCGTTCAAGCACAAACAAGCAAGCAAGGAGAACCCGCCAGACCCGTAAGAGGCGGCGCCAGTGGATGTCAACAACGAGCCCCGCGGCGAGGGCAGAGGGGGCGACTGCTAGGGAAACGGCTTAAGGGATGGTAGGCCACGCGGTGGCGGGGCCGGTGAATGCCCAGGCTGCCCGATTGACGCCCATGGAAGGGGCGAAACAACGCCCCTCGCAGGACGAGGTGCGCGGAGCGACGCGCCACCAGCTGGGTCGAGCGCGGGGCACGCGCAGGCCACACCGGTCGCCGAACCCACAGGCAACCCAGGCAATTTGGAAACCAGGGACCACCATGATGTCGCAGGGCTTAGGGGCGAACCAGCGATGAGTACCACAGAAGCAGCCATCACGGGAGGAACACTCTTGCGGGCTGCGCTAGCTGGGTCACAACAGAGCACGGACGTCCGATGGCGTGAGCAATTCTGTAGCACCCTGCATGACGGCTCCATGGACGCCCAGGAAGTAATAAGACGCCTCCTGCAGCTAGGGCCGATCGAGGTGACGGAACCGCCTGTGCGCGGGCTCATTCCGCAGGCCGAAGGCACTGGCGGACCTGGGCCCACCTGGCACGCGTGGGTTGACGCAGCTCCTGCGCACATCGTCCCTCCCCCCCCGCGCGCCAACCAGGATGCGCTGTCGCGTGCGTTAAATCCGCCCGCCCCCTTTCCACCCAGACGCACAATGGAGGCAGGTGCTCCCGCCACCATGAACGATCGACACCGTGTAAGAGGGCGGGGCGGTGTCCTCAGGAACCCCCTGCTGAGGGGAGTCCGTGCTGCGCCAAGCGACAGACTGGCTTCCGCCTGCGAAGCCCGGGCGGCGCAACTTCAAGGGAGGGCCGAAGCAATCCTGATCCGGACATGCGACCTGGCCAGATGGCATGGATGGGAGGTCTTGGAGCGCAACCTAAATGCCAGGGCGCGCGAGTGGCAGGCAGTCCTCGCCACCGCGGTGCGGGCAGCATCCGTGGACGACTTGAAGCAGCATGCGAGCGCGATGCTCGACCGCTTCAGCGCACCCGGGGACGACATGCGAGACATGTCCCGCTTCTGGGCCGTTGAATGAGATAGCCATACCAGGGGGCCATGCGGCTCACGGAGCGTGAAACTGGCTCTGCACCTTGCCCTTTACGTGCTGCGCCTGGCAGGGGGGAGACTGGGCCTCTCGGAAGTCGCACTACCGCCCCTCCCCTTATATGTCATCGTCCTGGGCCTCTTTGGACACGTTTTGGATCTAGTAACCGGGCACCCCGGCGGCCGCGGCATGTTCGCGTGGGCACCGCCTTGCACGTTCCCACCTCCGAGCCTCCTCGCGGGCCACGCACCCCAGACGACTGACCCGCGATGGCGCCCCCAATTCGACGGTCGGCGGCGACGACGAACCGAATTGGTCCGACCGCGCCGTCGGCAGACTGCATGAGATATGCGGGAGTAGAGGGGGGCTCTAACCGCGCGCAAGCAGGCGGACTTGGGCGACGCAGCGGCGGCCCCCCTCGCAGCCGATCCGCTGGCGCGCACCGCGCCGCCGGCCTGGATGGAGGTGACCCGAGCCACCGAGCCAACCTACGCCCATCGCAGAAGGGCGCAACCACCGGATCTCCAGGCAGTGCCCCAGCACGGCAGAGCCGTCTGGGCACCGGGGGCAGCGGGCCAGCACGGTCTGCCCCTCACGAAGCCAGCAGCACAAACCACGCAAGCAAGCTATCAGGCCGTCAGCGTCCAGGACATGGACTCACCTGACGCGTCAGACGAGTTACTGGAGCCGCCCGACCGCAGCCTGTTCCGCCCGCGCTTGGGCCCATGGGGACCCCGTGATCGAGGCCCGCACCCTTCCGCCAACTGCGCGCACAGGCCAAGGAGCTCGGCAGAGAAGGCTCGACCCGTGGGGCAGGGGTTAGACAGAGATCCCCCTTCCCCACCTGATCGCAGGGACGCGCCCATTTTCGTTCGGGGCAGGCGCGGCGCGCCACCAGACCCGCTACCATGCCCCCACACGGGCAGGGCGCTGGACCCGCGACACCATGCCTGGGGCCCTGGAAGCCCTTATCGGTGAAGGCATGGTGGAGCGCGTGCAACCCCCTGCCCGCGCAGGAGACGGCGCTGGAGCGGTGCGCATCATGCCCAGTGGACCCCAGGCACACCTGATGCAGGATGGCCGCCCGTACACTGGCGCCACAAGATAGCGCCCCCGGGGTCGACGGAGAACGGTGCGAAGGTTACCGCCTGGGGGTCACATTCGCGGCCTGCCCCCTGGCCAACGCACGGCGCGCGGCTCGGTCGCAACCGCCCCTCCTCGACACAGCGCCGGGCCCATCCGTTGTTTTCCTGGCGTGGATACTCGACGCTGAGAGGCCGAACGACCTGCGACCACTGCGACCCCCCACCTGGACAAGCCTCTCCGGAGCCCCACAGGCCGACCTCATCGACGGCGGGGCCACAGCTGCCCCAGGACCAGGCAGCCACGAGAGGCGGATAACGCGGCCCAAACATCAGGATGGCCACCAGCCATCCTGCGGCGGCCGCGGGCGGCAGCAGGCCTCCTGGGGCAGCTCGCCCGGGCGCGCGCGCCCTTGCGGTAGGCAGGGGCATGCGCGAGGTCACGGCAGATATGGGGCTTCCCCCCGCGACGGCAGCCCCGGTCGCAGATGAAAAAATGCCTTCGAGAGGTTTTCATTCCAGTGGCTAGCTGCTCTGCTCCGGAGATGCGGATTGCCCAACTGGCAGTAGACCGGCAAGCCGGGGCCGCTGGGGAGTGCACGGGCACCGCGTCGCCGTTCCTTTGGCGCGCGGCCGCGACCTGGCGATCGAGGCCGCATCTGCAGCCGCAGCCGGGAGATGCTCCACATATGTCGACGATCTGGCCGCCTTAATTGGTGGGCTCGCCCCAGCACGCCCTCCGGGCCACCGCCGCGCCCCCGCGGGCTTCCCGCGCCATGGGGCTGCTCGGCCCCTCTCACACCTGCAGAGGCCTCCCAGACGGGCTAAACAGCACCATCGCCGCTACGCCGCTGAGCATGGCCGGGATGCCCAACTGGCACATCCGCAAACACACGCCCCAACACGGGCAATCCTTGCGCACGA